CCCCGCTCCCTCCTCCGCCTCCGTGCCTCCCTCCCGACTCCCCTCCCCCGCGGAGGAGGGAGGAGGGAGGAGGGGAGGGAGTAAGGGAGGGAGGGAGAGTGAGGACGCTGACAGCATGACTTCTGGAAGTCCCCGCCCCTGCTCCTGGAGGAGGGAGGGAGAGAAGGGGGGATGGAGGTGGAGGACGACGAGCAAAAGGGATGGAGGAGGAGGGGGAGGAGGAGGAGAAGGGATGGAGGAGGAGGAGGAGGAGGAGGAGGAGGAGGAGGAGGAGGAGGAGGAGGAGGACTTGATCTTCTCGGCGGATAGTTGCTGGTGCTCAGGAGCCTGAGCGGAACATGATCGACCGACGCATCCGGAAAGGAATACAGAAGTGTATGGCATGGCAGCGCTTCAAAGACACCTGACTGGGCGACGGGCAAATGCAATGCTGAGTGTATCGATCTTGATGTACCGTGCCGAGGGCTGTGCTGCGCTGCGTCGTGCTGAATTGCGATGTGCCATGCCGCGGTTGTGCCCTATAGCGTTGTGGATCGAGTCCTCCTTTGCATCCGAGTCCTGACCGAACTGATCTGGATCTTAAGCTCGAGCTGCCTGAGCACATAGTAGCTGCCCCAGAACTATTTGACAGGGGAGCATGCCAGGAGGACGCGCCGTGGAACTTCCCAAAGGACGCGCTACGGAACGTGCCAATGGACGTGCCACTGGACGTGCCAGGGGGTGCGCCGCGCGACGTGCCAGGGGGACTCGCCACGGGACGTGCCAGGGATCTTGCCAGGTTGCAATGCTGAGTGTATCGATCTTGATGTACCGTGCCGAGGGCTGTGCTGCGCTGCGTCGTGCTGAATTGCGATGTGCCATGCCGCGGTTGTGCCCTATAGCGTTGTGGATCGAGTCCTCCTTTGCATCCGAGTCCTGACCGAACTGATCTGGATCTTAAGCTCGAACTGCCTGAGCACATAGTAGCTGCCCCTGAGCTAATTGACAGTGGAACAAGCCAGGAGGACGTGCCGTGGAACGTCCCAAGGGACGCGCCAAACGACGTGCCAGGGGACGCGCCACGGGGACGCACCGCGGGACGTGCCAAGGGGACGCGCTACGGAACGGCCAATGGACGTGCCACGGGACGTGCCAGGGGACGCGCCGCGCGACGTGCCAGGGGGACTCGCCACGGGACGCGCCACGGGACGTGCCACGGGACCTTGCCAGGTTGCAAGGCTGACTGCATCGATTTGGAAGAACCGTGTCGAGAGATATGCTGTGCTGCGCCGTGCTGAATTGCTTTGTGCATGCCGCGAGTGTGCTCTATAATGTTGTGGATCGAGTCCTCCTATGCAGCCCAGTCCTGACCGAACTGATCTGGATCTTAAGCTCGAGCTGCATGAGAACATAGTAGCTGCCCCAGAGCTCATTGCCAGGAGGACATGCCTGGAGGACTTGCCGCGGAACGTCCCAAGGGACGCGCCAGGCGACGTGCTAGGGGACGTGCCATGGGGACGCACCGCGGGACTTGCCAGGGGGAAACGCTACGGAACGTCCTGGGGGCAAGCGCTCCGATCGATACATCATGCTCAACTCAAATCCTCATGCTAGACATCCGCCTGGGCGACCCGGACACGTGAAAACAAGCGTTTCGTTCGAGACATCCTCAACACATCCTCAGGCTAGACATCTGCCTGGGCAACTTGGACGCGTGAAGCCAAGCGTCGAGACATCCTCAAGATCGGGGCACGTGAAAACAATCATTTCACCTGAGACATCCTCTGAATGCCGGTCCCCAGGAGAGGAACAATCTATAACACAAAACAGCCGTTTCGCTCGAGACGTCCTCAACACATTCTGAAGTATACGGCATCCGCGCTCCCAGGGCCACGATCCCTCTTGAATTACGTGGCGCCCGCGCTCCCAGGGCCACGATCCCTCGTAAATTACGCGGTGCCCGCGTACCCAAGGCCGCAGCCCCTTCGGAATTTACGCGGATTTGAATTCCCAAAGCCGCGATCCCTTATAAATTACATTGGATTTGCGCTCCCAAATCGGCACACTCTCGTAAATTACGCAGCCTCCGCACTCCCAGGGCCACGATCCCTAGTACAGTACACTGGATCCGCGCTCCCAGGGCCCCGAGCCCTTGTAAATTACGCGGCGTCCGCGCTCTCAGAGCCGCCATCCCTTCTAAATTACGCTGGGCTTGCGATCTAGGCATCCTGGAGCGCCCAGGCCCGTCATTTTTTGCAACACGAGCGTTTCGCTCGAGACATCAACAGACTTTCTGCTCGCAGGACGCACCATCCTCGAGCGGGCACGCAACAAATCAACATGTTCACATTTGTTGTGTCCAGATCGGGGCTCCAGACTCTGGCTTTTCTCCAGGATGCTGCTGAGAATGCCCCGCACTTTTCTTTTTGCTAGGGAAATCGGGAGCCTTTTCTGTTATTTATCGAGGATCCGAGATGGGCGGCGCACTTTCCTCGAACGGGCACGCGCGAAACGCATTTGTTCACGACGAATTGGGTTTTACTTAGTTTTCCATCGGACAGAAATCCGCCGGCGTCCCCCCGGTTCCTTAACATTAGCCTGGCGAAGGACCCAAACATATGCAGTTGTGGGTACCGCAATTGTGAATATCTTCTTCGGTGGCGCTCCCCATGGGGCCACGAGGCGCTGTACTGGGTGGGTGAAACGCAGGGAGCAAGGGCAGTGCTGGGTGGTGGCGGACGCATGCGGGCGTTGCCACTGAACCTTCGGTGGAGCCCCAATAGTGGGCCACGCAACCCTGTATTGGGTGGGTGAAACGCGGGGAGACGCATGCGGGCGGTGCCACTGGGACCTTCGGGAGCAAGGGCTGTGTTGGGTGGTGGCAGACGCATGCATGCGGTGCCACTGGGACCTTCGGTGGAGCTCCCTATGGGGCCACGGAGCCCTGTATTGGGTGGGTGACACGCAGAGAGCAATGGCTGTACTGGGTGGTGGCGGACGCATGCGGGCGGTGCCACTGGGACCTTCGGTGGGGCCACGATGCGCTGTACTGGGTGGGTGAAACGCAGGGAGCAAGGGCTGTGCTGGGTGGTGGCGGACGCATGCGGGCGGTGCCACTGGGACCTTCGGTGGAGCCCCCTTATCAAACCACGCAGCCCTGTACTGGGTGGGCGAAACGCAGGGAACAAGGGCTGTGCTGGGTGGTGGCGGACCCAACCGGGCAGTGCCACTGGGACCTTTGGTGGAGCCCCTTTTTTAAGGGGCACGAAGCGCTGTAGGTGGGTGAAACGCAGGGAACAGGGGCTGTTGCTGGTTGGTGGCGCGGACGCATGCGGGGGTGTGCCACTGAGGACCTCGTGGAATAACCATGGGGCCACGTGCGCCGTACTGGGTGGGTGAAACGCAGGGGCGCTGTACTGGGTGGGCGAACGCAGGGAGCAATGGATGTGCTGGGTGGTGGCGGACGCATGCGGGCGGTGCCACTGAGACCTTCCGCGTGGAGCTCCCCATGGGGGCCACGATGCGTTATACTGGTGGGCGAAACGCAGGGAGCAAGGGCTTGTGCTGGGGGTGGCGGACCGGGACGCATGGGGGCGGGGCCACTGGGACCTTCGGTGGGAGCCCTTATATGGGGCCACGCAACTTGTATTGGGTGGGTGAAACGCGGGGAGCAAGGGCTGTGCTGGGTGGTGGCGGACGCATGCGGGCGGTGCCACTAGAGACTAGAGCTCCCCATGGGGCCACGAAGCCCTGTACTGGGTGGGTGACACGCAGAGAGCAATGGCTGTACTGGGTGGTGGCGGACGCATGCGGGCGGTGCCGCTGGGACCTTCGGTGGAGCCCCCTTATCAAACCACGCAGCCCTGTACTGGGTGGGCGAAACGCAGGGAGCAAGGGCTGTGCTGGGTGGTGGCGGACGCATGCGGGCGGTGTCACTGGGACCTTCGGTGGAGCCTCCTTATGGGGCCACGAAGCGCTGTACTTGGTGGGTGAAACGCAGGGAACAGGGGCTGTGCTGGTTGGTGGCGGACGCATGCGGGCGGTGCCACTGAGACCTTCGGTGGAGCTCCCCATGGGGCCACGAAGTGCCGTACTGGGTGGGTGAAACGCAGGGAGCAATGGCTGTGCTGGGTGGTGGCGGACGCATGCGGGCGGTGCCACTGAGACCTTCGGTGGGGCCCCCTTATGGGGCCACGAAGGGCTGTAGTGGGTGGGTGAAACGCAGGGGGCAAGGGCCGTGTTGGGTGGTGGCGGACGCATACAGGCGGTGCCATTGGGGGTTTCCGTGGAGCTCCCCATGGGGCCACGATGCGCTGTGCTGGGTGGGTGAAACGCAGGGAACAAGGGCTGTGCTGGGTGGTGGCGGACGCATGCGGGCGGTGCCAGGGGCCACGATGCGCTGTGCTGGGTGGGTGAAGCGCAGGGAACACGGGCTGTGCTGGGTGGTGGCGGACGCACGCGGGCGGTCCCATCGAGGGTTTCGGTGGAGCCCCCTATGGGGCCACGAAGCGTTGTGTTGGGTGGGTGGAACGCATGGAACAAGGAGGAGGGAGGGGAGGAGGGGGGGAGGCGGAGAGGAGAAGAGGAACGCGGGGACCGTCTCTTCAAAACGAGGACCCAACACCACAGGATGGTGGCGAAGTGCTAAAACAGAACCCTGGGCCGATGCCCTTGCCGGGAAAAAGGTCACAACACATAGTTTACACAGTGCGTATCTGCGTATCGCCCAGCAAACGGGATCTCTTGGCAGGGTATGGGTCGAGGCCGGAACGAAACATGTGCAATGGACGAGCCTAGCGGAGGCTAGGCGTGCTAGGGAAGCAGGAGAAGGAGAAACAGAAGTAGGAGCAGAAGTAGGTGCAGGAGCAGGAGCAGGAGGAGGAGGAGGAGGAGGAGGAGGAGGAGGAGGAGGAGGAGGAGGGGCAGCAGCAGGCGGAGGAGCAGGAGAAAGGAGGAGAAGGAGGGGAGAGGGGTGAGGGATGGCGATGAGGAGGAATGAGGGAGGGGACACTCATGAGGAGTAGAAGAAGGAGGAGGAGGAGGAGGAGGAGACGCGAAGAGGAGGAGGAGGAGGATAGGAGGAGGGGAGGAGGAGGAGGAGGAGGAGGAGGGGGAGGAGGAGAAGGAGGAGGAGGAGGGGAGGAGGAGAAGGAGAAGCAAGGAGGAAGGGAGGGAGGAGGAGGAGCAGGAGGAGGAGGAGGAGGAGGAGGAGGAGGAGGAGGAGGAGGAGAATGAGGATGGCGAGCGAAGATAATGAGGATGGCGGACGGAGGATGGAGTGAGAAGGAGAACCAATGAGAGTGGGGGGATACGTGAAGGACAGCCGTCCCGCCGTCGACGAGAAGATGCTGCTTCCAAAGCTCGGCTTCGAGCCCTTCAAGCTGCCCGCCTGGTGCTGCGTGCGCAGGCGGGCCCGGGGCCGAGGGCCCCCCATCTGCTCGAAAGCTGTTGGGGGCATGGTCAAGGTTCGCTCCTCCTCCTCCTCCATCCTCCTCCCTTCTCCTCCTCCTCCTCCCCCTTCCCCTCTCCGCCTCCTCCTCCTCCTCCTCCTCCTCCTCATCCCCCACCTCTTCCTCCTCCGCCTCCTCCTTCTCCTCCTTCTCATCCTCACCAGCATCGTCAGCATCATTATAATGCGTCACGCTTCACGTATCCTCGCCAGCCCTTTCAGAAACCTTGCTCATGAGAGCTGACGGTAAGAGAGACGAGGAGACACATGCCGTGAATCAATGCGGGCAACCAGGATGCCTCTCGGAGTCTCTTCAGACGTCTTTTGAGAGCTTCTTGGAGTCCTCTTGGGGCGTCTCAATGGCCTCTTGGCTGTCTCGGGGGCCTCTTCGAGCGCCTTAGGTGCCTTGGGGGACCCTTTTGAAGCCTCTTGGGGGTCTCCTCGAAGCCTCTGGGTGACATCTTGGTTGCCTCTTGGGGCCTCCTGGGGCGCTCTTGGGGCCCTCTTGAGGCCCTCTTGGGGCTTGGGAGCCTTGGGGGCCATCTTGAGGCCATCTAGGAGGAGCTCGATTGAAGGACGGGGGTCCTCGATTTCCTTCCCCCCAAGGAGGCCAAATTGGGCCCAGCACCATCGTAGAATCAATGATCTCGGCCTTTCGCCGAGGCCATCTTGGACTCTCTAACCCTTCGCTGGCCCTCCGAAAGAACCTCCGGGAGAGAAGGGGGAGGGCACCCCTCCCCGAAGGAAAAGAGGGGATTTGGAAGATGAGCGAGGAATATTGTTAGACCGCATACGCAAGGAGGGCTGGTGGGACTACCATGATCATCCGTACCATCATTATCGTCACTGGCATCATCGTCGTCGTCGCGGTCATCGTGATCGTCGTCGTCGGCGGCGTCGTCGTCATCATCGTCATCGTCAACGTCATCGTCGTCGTCATCATCATCATCATCATCATCATCATCATCATCATCATCAGCAGTTGCATCATCATCATCATCACCATCATCATCCTTATCATTATCAGTATCATTATCATCATTATCATCATCAATTAGCCGCATCATCATGAGCTTCACCATCACAGTTGTCATCATGATCATCGTCATCGTCACCATCACCGCCACCACCATCATCGCCGTCACCATCGTCATCACTATCATCATCGAATCGTCAGCATCACCATCATCATCATCACCATCAGCAGCATCATCATGATCAGCACCAGCGCCCGCCCCAGCATTCTCTACGTCATCATCATGGTCATACCCGCCACCACCATCATCACCACCATCATCATCATCAGCGTCACCATCACCATCATCACCACCACCATTATCACCATCAGCATCATCAGCGTCAGTTTCACCATCATCATTATCATCATCCTCATCCTCATCATCATCCTCCTCATCATCAGCATCAGCATCAGCATCAGCATCATCATAAGCATCATCATCGTCATCATCAACAGCACCAGCAACACATTCACCTTTACCATCGCCCGCTTCCCCTCCCATGCTCTCCACCTCCTGCTCCTCCTCGTGCCCGAAAGGTGTGTGTGTGTGTGTGCTCGCGTCGTCGGGTGCAGCTCGGCCCCCCTCAGGCATTGTCGGAAGGTTTCACAAGGTTCCTCCTCCTGCCGTCCCCCGCCCCCCCTCCCCCTCAATCTGACCCTCGTCATCTGCCCCCCATCCCCCTCCTCGCCCCTCCCCTTCATCGGACCCTCATCTTCCTGCTCCCCGTCCCCACCCCCCCTCAATCAGACCCTCATCTTCCCTCTTCCCCTACTCCGAGTTTCTCAATAAGCGTCGGGGGGCGCCATCCCCGCCGACAGCCCCACATCGACACCCGCCGCGGGCAGCCTCCGCGCGCCGAAGGCGCTACGACCCCCGTCGCGGCGCGACGACGAGGCGAGGTTGGCCCCCGTCGGGGGGGGGTACCCCCCCACGCTTATGAAGAAACCCAGGGTGCCCTTCCCCTCCCCCTCCTCGCCGCCTGGAGCAATCCCTGGGCAGAGCTCCGGTGCGCGACGTCCCGCGGCGTCCAGCTCTCGGCAGACGGGACGAAGCCCGCGGCTCCTCCCGCCGCCCCTCTCGGCAGGGGCCGCGGGAGGCAGAGCGGGTGGGAGCCGGAGGATGGGAGGGCGGGGATGGTCGGGTGCGCGCAGGCGCAGGACGACAGAGGGATGGAGGAACGGGGATGGGAGGAGGAGGAGGAGGAGGAGGAGGAGGAGGAGGAGGAGGAGGAGGAGGAGGAGAGGAGAGAGGAGGAGGAGGAGGAGGAGGAGGGGGAGGAGGAGGAGGGGGAGATGATGATGATGATGATGATGATGATGATGATGATGATGGATGATGATGATGATGAGGATGAGGAGGAGGAGGAGGAGGAGGAGGAGGAGGAGGAGGAGGAGGAGGAGGACGAGGAGGAGGAGGAGGGGAGGAGGAGGAGGAGGAGGAGGAGGAGGAGGAGGAGGAGGAGGTGGAGGAGGAGGAGGAGGAGGAGGTGGAGGAGGAGGAGGAGGAGGAGGAGGAGGAGCAGGGGAGGGTCCGTAGCCATTTTGGCTCAAGTCCGGAGTGTTTTGGCACAGGACCTGACCTCACTGGCACGGGGGAGTGACGGCCCCCGAAGTCACGCCTCGCTGCCTGGTCAGACGAGGTCTTTCGGCGATTCTTTCTTGCAGTATTCTTCCAGGGTCGGATGGCCCCTCAGAGACATGGTGGCGCCACGTTCGATACCTGGCAGTGTCAGCACAAGCGGTGCAGGTACCGCTTCAACTTCCTCACGCGCACGCACTGCCGCGCGTGCGGCCGCCCTGCGCCCAGTGCGCCTGCCCCCTCCGAGGGCACACGCACGCTGGGCGCCTGGCTGCAAGGGCCGCCTCAGGTCGGCGGCAGGTCAGCGGCGGCGGTGGCGGAAAGCGTGCCAACGGCGGCGGCGGGTCAGGGCAGGGCGGCGTCAAGCTCTCGTACCTGGACCCCTCGGCCATCGACATCTATGCCAAGCTCGAGGCTGCTGACTTCGAGGCCGTCTCCGCTGACTGGACGCCCCAGCTGGTGGCCAAGGTGGTCGCCCACCGTGCGCTACGGGCTGGCGAGCCGCGTGCGGAGGCGCGCTCGGCACGCATCGAGCAGGACGTCGTGGCCGACAAGCGCGACAAGGCGCAGCGGGCCTACAACCGTGCTCAGGAGGCAGCCCTCGAAGCCGTCACGGCGGCCGCGACGGCGAAGAAGGAGCTCGACGAGGCCAAGGCGCGCTGTGCGGAGGCGGCGGCGCGTGCTGCCCAGGCCTACCAGAGCATGGCGCAGTCGGTGGACCCCGCGAAGGCGCTTGCTGCCCTGGCGGACGGGCTCAAGGCGGACCCTAGGCTCACCGACTTCGCCCAGCAGCTGCAGGCGCTTGTCCCCACGCTGCGGCAGCTCGCCGAGCCCGACGTGGTCATGCAGGGTGTCGCTCCTGCTCCAGGGGCTGCTGGTGTTCCTGCTGCTGGTGCCGCTGGCGTCGCTCCTGCAGCCGATGGCGCTCCCGAGGCAGCTGCTGCTCAGCCGCTTGGCGGAGCCGCCGCGCGCGCCCCAGCCACCCCAGAGGAGGCGGCTGTGCGGGAGGTCGCGGGCATGGCGCAGGCCGAGGCCGAGGCGCAGCGTGCCGCACGCGCAGCCAGTGATGCAGCAGCAGCGCGGCAGCGTGCCCAGGCCTCCCACACTGAGTTGCTCGCCTGGCTGGAGCAGCAGCGTGCTGGGCAGCAGATTCAGTCCGAAGCGGAGCAGCAGGGTGTCAAGCACGAGCTTGTCCAGGGGGTCTTCGACCAGCTCATCGAGGCCGCTAAGAAGAAGGCTCGTGTGGACGGGGTTGCTGAATCGGATCTTTAGCTTCACCCTGGTCACCGTGAATGTGTCTGGCCGTAGTGGTTTGGAGGCTGCCCTACGGCATGAGCAGATTCGAGGTGCCGCTGCAGTCGCTGTGCAGGAGCACCACATGCTGAGAGACAGGTGCGACATCTGGGAGCACAAACTTCGTGGTATGGGATGGCGCGCTGCCTTCGCCGCGGCCGCTGCCACCTCACAGGGTGGCACATCAGGTGGACTGTTGCAGTGTGTGCCAGCGGCCGCTGGATTGTCTGAGGTCGAGTGCGTGCCCAGCGTTATGCATGAGGGCCGTGTTCGCATCCTGCACAGTCATGGACTCACGCCTCTAGGCTTTCTGTGGGTCAATATGTACCTTCACCATTCTGAGGGCTTGTCTAAGAAGAATTGGGCCATCCTCACTGACGTGGGGCAGGTGGTGAAAGCTGTAGGTTTTTCGTTCGTTATCTGTGGAGATTTCCAGATGCCTCCTGAGGAGCTCCAGGGCAGTCTTTGGGTGGAAGCGTTAGACGGAGTTTGCTTGTTCCCATCGGTTGCCACTTGCACTTATGCTGCCGCCTCTGCTGGTCGTGTCATCGACTAATTTGTCGTTTCCCAGTCGCTGTCGCATCGAGCTCGTGTTCTCATTGTGCCTGATGCAGGCACCTCACCACACTGTCCAGTGCTACTGCAGCTCTCGCCACTCTCGCAGTGTGGGCTGGAGTTTCGCGCAGCACGTGTGCCCAAGCGTTTTCCCCTAGAGGCTCCAGTGGCGTGCAGGAGGACGGATCCTCAACCGCGATGGCCGCATTTCTGTGAGCAGATGTCAGGTCTCCCACTCGCGGAGAAGTGGCGGTTGTGGGTAGCCGATGCTGAGTTTGAGCTCGCCGACGTGCACGACCTCGCGCCGGTTGAGAATCCCGAGTATTATGGCAGGGCTTTCTCTCTACAGTTCTACACGCGCAAGCCTTTGCTTCCGCATCCGCTTGCGTTTCCCACGCTCAGCCCAGCTGCCCTCTGGTGGCGGCTTTTCGCTCGCTGCTTTGAAGGCCTGGCGCGCTGGCAGCCGCCAAATTTACGTGCTCGCACCCTCAGGCTAGGTCGCAGTGTCCAGGCACGGCGCAAAGCTAGCGGCGTTCCCACTCAGGAAGCCGAGCCCTGGCTACTGCTTCTTCAGTTGTCTCTCTCTTTGCCGTGCGAGCTAGCCTCAGCAGCGGCGAAGGTAACTGGTGCGCGAGCCGTGGCAGTTTTCAAGCAGGCAGAGAGAGGCAAGCAGGCGGGCTGGCGTGATTGGGTGCGCAGGCGCTCGATTGACGGCGCGGCTGCTCTGTATGCTTTCTCCAAGCCTGCCATTCCCTGGCGCGCCAGCTCTCTAACAGCTGGCAAGCCATGCACCCTTCAGGAGGAGGTGGGGGCTCTTGAGGCGGAGTGGTCGGGTTGGTGGAAGGTTGGAGCTATTAGCGACCAGATCGAATGCCGACGGATCTTGGCCCTCCATTCTTGCGACCTTCGCTCGAGCAGCTGAAGGCGTGCGTGCGCTCTTTTCCGCGACGGTCAGGATGTGGCTTTGACCAGCTCTGTCCGCGCCAGCTTTTGCACTTGTCCGACGAAGCGTTGGAAGCTTTCCTCGATATTTTGCTTGAAGTTGAAACCTCCTGCACTTGGCCTTCTATCTGGACCAAGGTTGTGTTTCTTTCTAAACGTGATGGGGGTCTCCGACCCATCGCGCTTATTCACATGCTGGCTCGCGTGCAGGGGAGGCTCCGAAAGCCCTTGGTAGCAGCTGGGCAGCAGCAGCATGATCGGCCTTACTGGTGGTCCACGGCTGGACGCTCGTCGGACAAATTGGTTTGGCTGCAGGCTTCTGCCGCTGAGTGGGGTAGGGCACGGGGTTTCTCCAGCGCCCTTGTGCTTCTTGACCTTGCCAAAGCATTTGAGCACATCAGGCGCGATGCATTGTTGCAGGCTGCTTTGCGCTCAGGCTTTCCAGTGCGGCAGCTCAAATGGCTGGTAGATCTCGATCGCTGTCCACGAGTGCTTGCTCTTGGTGGGGCGACGTCGATGCCTATTTATACTCTGCAAGCAGTGCTGCCAGGGTGTCACTTTGCCACTCTAATGTTACAGCTGGTGCTGCTGTCGCCCCTAGACGTCGCGCAGGCAGCGTTTCCGCACATGCATCTTGGAAACGTTGTGGACGAGTTTGGCCTGCAACGGCTCGGCAGAGAGGAAGACGTAGCTGCAGAGCTTGCAGGTGCCACTCGTTTGTTGCATTCGCAGTTAAAAAACGTCAGCTTGCCCATTGCGTTAAAAAAGAGTCGGGTTGTTGCCTCTAGTACCAGGCTCCGCGGGCTCCTTGGGGCCCGATTTCGCTCTGTTAAGCTCAACGGCGTTTGTACTGAGAGGAATCTTGGTATCGACTTTGCCGCTGGCAAGGTTCACAAGCAGTTTGTCCGCGCCAGCAGAAAAAAGCGAGCCGCCACCCGAGCACGCAAGTTGCTGGCCCTGTCGCCTTTTGTTTGCAAGCGGCAGCTGCGCGCGATGATCCGCAGCGCTGCTCTGTCCTCTCACACTTACGGGTGCAAGGTGCCGGGCACCACTGGCACAGATCCCAGACAAGCGCGCATGCTGCAGGCCAGAGCTCAGGCGAACAATCTCGATGGCAAGAGTGTGACGCTGCTGCTCATGCTCAGTGAACGTCGTCAGATCGACCCTGCATATGGGCTGCAGTGTGCTCCTCTCTTGCAGTTTGCCACCGCGGCGTGGGAGCTATGGCACCCACGAGCGATGCTGGAGCAAGGATTGCGAGACGCTGTTGTGAGGCTCACTGATCACGGCAATCCTTGGGCCAGCATCAGTGGCCCTTTCTCTGCATGTGCTGCTACAGCCTTGCGACTTGGCATCAGCATGCAAGGCTTTGTGTGGTCTCATCCTCGGCATGGCGAGGTCTCTGTTGCGCAGTCAGGGCCTCGCGCCGTCCGCAAGTGGCTTCATCAAGTGGTTTTGCAGTGGCTCTGGGAAAAAGTGGCTTCGAGAGAAGGTGTTCCTGAGCTCTCTCTTGGGTGGATTTTTCAGCTTCTGCAGTCCCTTTTAGCCTCTAATGGTCTCAGACACGATGAGAAGGCCTACCTTAGGAGTGTTGTTGCTGGGGGGGGGGGGGGGGGGGGGCAATGGCCTCAGCATCGTCAGTGGCTTGCGCAGTGCGCCGCCGGCCCCCTTTGCCGCTTGTGTCAGCAGGCCCCTGGCACGCTCCTGCATCGTCATGCGTGCTGCGCGGGCCACGATGACCTCATGGCACAGGAGGTCCCGCCTGAGTTTTTGACCTCGGTTGTCAGGGCGTGCGTGGATCCTCTGCCTCTCCTCTTCGCCGAGAGGCCCCTCGTCCCCGAGGCCCCCCTTCCTCCTGCGAACCCCTCCCTGATCGGTGGTTCGGCGGAGGACCCACTGAGATGGCAGGCCATATTTTTCTCGATGCCAGCTGGATGGGCCAGCATCTGCCGCCAGCGTCCCAGGCTGTTGGCTGGGCCACTGTCAGCGTGCAACCGCACCATCCGTACAAGGTCATTTCGGTGATGCGCGGCACTCTCCAGTTGGCGTGCCGAGATGTTGACTGTGCAGAGCTGTTTGCCTTCAACCGCGCGTTGCAGCATAGTGCTCCTGACAGTATTTTTTACACTGACTCTGCGTTCGTCCACAATGGAGCTCACCAGCGTGGCAAGGTGTACTGTTGTTCCTCACGCGCAGCCTGGTCCGAGTTATGGGTTCAGGTGAAGGCGCTGCGTCGCAGACTGGGGCGGCATCGAGTGTGTCGATCTGCGCAAAGTCAAAGGCCACTGCGCCGAAGCCCGCATCCAGTCTGGACTTTCGACTCGTTTTGAAAAAGAGGGTAACGCGCATGCTGATGAATGGGCTCAGTGGGTTGCCTCGAGAGCCCGCATAGACCCTGAGCTCCGCCGTGTTCGCAAAGCCAAGGCCCTCGTGCTCTCTCAGTGGGCGTCCTGGGTTGCGCGCATTGGGCCTCGTATGTGCGATGCTGATTGTGAGCATGTCCCTCGGCGGCAGCGCAAGGCTCGTGGCTCAGGCGCAGTGGACTGCCCTGTGCCAAGGGTGGTGGTAGAGCCCCCGCCGCCAGTCACGCCGCGCAGCCTGTCGAGAGCAGACCTGGCTTCTGTGCGGGTGCAGCTTGCGGATGAGAGGCCGCATTTTATGCACCCTTTCGCCGTTATAGGGGGCGGTGGGCGGAGGCTGTGGTGCACTGTGTGTGTCGTGTGTGGGTTGGGAGGGGTCAAGATCTCTGCGAACTTGTCACAGGGTTGTCGAGGCCCTCCCACTTCAGGCGCGTGGGGTGCTCGAGTCCTTTCGGGCCTCACGCGTGCGCCTGCGCGTTTTCAGGTCAATCGTGTGTGGCGGTGCCTCGAGGATCCGCTGCGCACGGCCTCCCTGATTCGTGCAGGAGTGGTGCAGCCGCTCTCGAGCAGCGCTGCGCCGTGAGGCGCGGCTTCCACGTCTGCCAGCCTGTGTGCTGGCCTCGCCTTTCATTTCTGGGCACTGTTCGGGAGGCGCCACCCGCCTCTGGCTCTTGCCATGCGGTGGCGTAAGTGGCATGTGGCGCGGACAACCTTGTTCGCGTTCAGGCTGTGCCGAGGAGGAGCAGGGGAGGGGGCCAGGGGGATGCGTTGGAGGTGGGAGGAGGGGCCGGGAGAGGCGGAATCCCACGGGCGAGGGGCAGCAGGAGCAGCAGGAGCAGCAGGAGGGGCAGGCGGCGAAGCCAGAGGGGGGCGAGAGGGTGATGGGTTGAGGGGAATGAGGAGGATGCGTAGGACGAGGGCGAGGGCGAGCTGGCGGCGAGGGAGACGAAGACGACAGGCTGGAGGCAAGGGCCGAGGAGGAGGAGGAGAAGGAGGAGGAGGAGGAGGAGGAGGTGGAGGAGGCGAAGGTGAATCACGATGGAGATGATGGCGATGACGAAGACGAGACGATGACGACGATGATGATGCGGATGATGATGATGTTCATGCTGATGTTACTGATGACGATGATGATGATGATCATGATGATGATGATGATGCTGATGATGATGATGATGATATGATGATGATGATGATGGTTCTGATGATGATCATGATACTGATGGTGATGAGGATGCGGATGAGGATGAGGATGATGACGGTGATGCTGCTGCTGATGATGATGATGCGATGGTGATGTTGCTGGTGATGGTGATGAGGATGTTGGTGGTGATGATGGTGCAGACGGTGACGATGACGATGCTGCTGCTGATGATGATGGTGATGGCGATGGTGACGATGCTGATGATGATGATGATGATGTTGATGATGATGATGATGATGATGATGATGATGATGATGATGATGGCGATGATGCTGCTGATGATAATGATAATCATGCTGGTGATGCTGAGCATGCTGATTAGTATGGTGATGAGGAGGAAAACGATAGAAATAGTGAGGAGTTGACGGAGTAAGAAGACGTGGTGGGCGATGGGTCCTCCCTCATCATCATCATCCCTCGACCCTCCTCCTCCTCGTCCTCATCCTCATCCTCCTCCTCTTCCTCGCTCCTTCCACCCCCCTGAACCCCGCCTCCTCCTCCCCCTCCTCGTAGAGGGCGTCGTCGTCGTCGTCCTCGTGGCCGAGGACGTTCATCGAGGCGAGCATCAGCGAGCCCATCGCCGACCGTGCTTTCTCGTCGCCGCCGCAGCGACGGGCTCAGGTTGGAGTTACTACTGATTAGTGGCGCCTCCGCTCCCCATCCTTCCTCACCCTGCTTCCGCTCGTCTCGCCCAACCCCAAGTCCTCGACCTCATTCTTTTCCTGCTCCTCCTCTTCTTCGCTTCCTCTCCCCCCCCCCTCCCTCCCCCCCCTTTTCTCCTCTTCCTCCTCCCCTTCCGCCCTCCTCCTCCTCCTACCCCTCCTCCTTCTCCTCCTCCTCTACCCCTCCTCCCTCCTCCTCTCATCCTTCCTCTCCTCATCCTCCTCCGCCTATCATCATCATCATCATCATCAACATCATCATCATTCTTCATCATCCTCATCCTCCCCCCTCCATCCTCGTCCTCCTCCTCCTCCTCCTCCTCCTCCTCCACCATTCCCTTTGTTTTCAAATAGCTCCTCCCTGTCGCTCCCCGAGGCCTGTCGAAAGGGTGGGCCGGGTGTGTCGCCTGAGACTTCCTCACCATCTATGACCTTGCATCTCAAACATTGGCAACAGCTTGACGAAAGGAGCGCGCGTGGTTCTCAACATGTGTCTCTCGCCTTAGCGCCACGTACATTCGTTTTCAAAAAGTTGCAAGAGTTTCACGGATTGAGGGCGGGCCGTTTTTAACATGTGGCTCTCGCTTAAGCGCCGCGCACATTGATGTTTTACATTGCGAGAGCTTCACGGAGTGTGGACGGGCCGTTTTCAATCTGTGGCTCTCGCCTTAGCGCCGCGCGCATTTGCTTTATTGTTCAAGGCAATTTCAAGAGCTTCACGGTTTGAGGGCGGGTCGTTTTCACAATGTGGTTCTCGCTTGAGCGCCGCGCACCTTTCTTTTTAACAAAGTGCAAGAGTTTGGCACACTCCCATTGTCAGTTTTCCAGATTATTAATGTTTTGGACGGGTTCAGTTTTGTGAGGGTGCAACAGTTACGTCGGTTCGCGGTATTGAAGTCCCAGGAACGGCGCTCTGGCACGATTCAGGATCGCCAGGGCACAATAGTCAAATGGATCCTTGGCATTGAAGTCCCGAGAATGGTGTTTTGGCATGCCTCAGGGTCCTCAAGCGGTTGTCTCCCAACGAAGCAGTCCCCTCAGTGGAAAGGAACCTTTATCGGGGCCTATGAAGAGGGAGCTCGGAGGGAGGGTTTGTTCCAACATCGGTGATGAGTCGTGGGTTTGCACTGGTCCTCCTCCTCTCCTCCTCCTCCTCCTCCTCCTCCTCCTCCTCCTCCTCCTCCTCCTCCTCCCCTTCCCCCTCCCCTCCCTCCTCCTCCTCCTCCTCCTCCTCCTCCTCCTCCTCCTCTCCTCTCCTCCTCCTCCTCCTCTCCCCTCTCCTCCTCCTCCTTCCTCCTCCCCCTCCTCCTCCTCATCATCATCATCATCATCATCATCATCATCATCATCATCATCATCCCCCTCCTCCTCCTCCTCCTCCTCCCTCCTCCTCCTCCTCCTCCCTCCTCCTCCTCCTCCCTCCTCCTCCTCCTCCTCCTCCTCCTCCTCCTCTCTCCTCTTCCTCCTCTTCCTCCTCCTCATCATCATCATTGATGAATCATCAGCATCATCATCATCATCATCATCATCATCATCATCATCATCATCATCATCATCATCATCATCATCATCATCATCATCATCATCATCATCGTCATCGTCATCGTCATCGTCATCATCATCATCCCCCTCTCTCCTCCTCCTCTTTTCTCCTCCCTCAGATCTGGAGGCTGGATGCGCGTGGTGCGTCCTGTCTCCGGGACGGGCGGGCACACGCCTCTGGCCGCGTGCCCTTCCAGCGCGCGGCCCATCTGTGGCCCCGGGGGCACCGCGCGTCGCTCCAGCGCGCGGCCTCCGGATGTTCCGCAATCTGGATGCGGCCATGCGTTGCTCCAGTTTCTTGGTAGCTGCTCCCTGCTCCTCTTCCTTCTCCTCACCTCTGCCCCTTTTCGCTTCCTCCCCCGCCCTCTCCTCTCCCTCTTCTTCACCTTCCCCGCGTCGTCGTGGTCGGCGTCGCCCTCGTCGTCGTCGTTGCCATGCTCGTCTCCCCCTCTCGCACCCTCTTCTGCTCTTCCTGCGAGTCCCTGCTTATCTTCCTCCTCACCTTCCTCTATCTCCCCACTCCCCGTCCCCCTTCCCTCTTCTTCCTTCCCCCCCCTCCCCCCTAAGAGAACATTCGCATTTTCTGTCGTAATTAGGTATTTATTATCCCTGTCTCTTCCCCTCTGTCTGAAATTATTTAATCGCTTCGCTCATTCCGCTGGCCCTCGAGCGCTCTATGGGGCCTCTTTGAAGCCACTTGTGGGCCTCTTGGGGGCCTCTTGGGGGCCTCTTGGGGGCCTCTTGGGGGTCTCTTGGGGCTCCTTGGCGGCGTCTTGGGGCCCCCTTGGGCCTCTTGGGGGGCTCTTGGGGCCTTTTGGGGCGGGGTAGTCGAGTGCACCCCCCTCGGAGGCCACGATCCCCGTGAGGGTTGTCGAAAAAAGGCCCTCGAAACCATCTCTGAGTAGACCTGCTCGGGCTGCGGTCGGGATACTTTTCGCCGGGGGACCCCCAGGGGCCGCCCCGCGCGCGCGAACTAGAAACATTGTTAACCAATTACCGGAGATCTTAGCACGCCTCTGGCCCGTTGGGCCGGCGAATTAGTCGTGTTCCTGCAAATCCACTATTAGGCCTACCCTGCGCCTGCGCCCTACGCGTACGTCAAACTTGTCCGTACGGTCTGGGGTAGGCCCGACCCTAGGCTACCCTCAGGCCTTTGGGTAGGCCCTGCCCCAGGCTGCCCTAGCGCCTTGGGTCGGCCCTGGGGCCTAGGGTAGCCGTCCCCCCCTGGTTCTATACCCTGTGCTCGGCGTCACCCCAACATACTTCTACTATATGTTCGTCGCCCCCTCAGTGGCGGCGCGCGCACCGAGAGATCTTATAGTATATGCGTCGTGGCGGGCGCTTTCTGGTCACACCGCTCGGGAAACGATATACTACAAGATTGGTATACTACATGATCGGGTCGGACGCGCGCCTCCAAGGAGGACATATAGTACTAGTATGTCTTTGTGCGTCCCATGTGCCCCTGATGCACTTCTCCCGGTAGCCTCTATCTTCTACTGCCAGCCGCGCTTGCCCCCCTGCGCTGCCGCCACTTCCGGCGGCCGTCGAGGGGCCCGCTGCTCCGTTATGCGCGGGGAAGTGAGGAGGAGACGGAGGACGCGGTGGAGGCGGGTGCGCAGGAGGATGAGGAGCAAGAGAAGGAGGATATCGACGAGGATAAATATGAGGAGGAGAGGGTGGAGGAGCAGGGGGAGGAGAGGGAGAAGGAGGGGGAGGAGGAGGAGGAGGAGGAGGAGGAGGAGGAGGAGGAGGAGGAGGAGGAGGAGGAGGAGGGAGGGGAAGGGGGAGGAGGAGGAGGAGAGAGGAGGAGGAGGAGGAGGAGGAGGAGGAGGAGGAGGAGACGATAACTTGGGAGAGGTACGTAGGAGGAGAGGGAAGGGACAGGGGATAGGGAGGAGGAAATGGACGTGGGAGTAGAGGAAGGAGGAGGAAGAGAAGAGGGAGGAGGAGGATGAGGAGAAACAGGAGGAGGAGGAGCAGGAGGAGGAGGAGAAGGAGCAGGAGCAGGAGCAGGATGAGACGGAAGAGGTGAGCTAGGATAGGTGCGTGGGAGGAGGGGGAGGGGGAGGATAAGAGGGAGTTGGAGAGGGAGTATGCGGTGGAGGAGGGGGAGGAGAGAGGAGAGTGGAGGGGAGGGAAGAGGAGCAGGAGGAGGAGGAGGAGGAGGAGGAGGAGAACGAGCAGGACCAGGGTCATCCTAGCACGCGGCGCTGTTGCTTCAACAGGCCCCCAAGTTCCCTCCGCACATGAAGTCCATGCTCGCCTCTCCTTCCCCCGCAGCAAACACGCGCCATAAAGGTGAGAGGCCAAATGGCCTGCAAGGTCAGCGCCCTATGGGACTTGAAGTGCGCATCAAAGGTCAGACTGAGCGGCTACAGGGCGTACTCTCTGTCAGAGTACTGCAAGAAAATTGCGAGCAACGTCAGTTTCCTACCACGGAGCCTTCCTGTATCCGCGCAGCTTCTGGACGTCACACTATCAAGAAGCATCGGGTTGTTGGACACTTGAGTTGCACTCTACTGGGTCATGCTGTGAAGCGCAGCTTATGCGGTGCAACCTATGCAGTGCTATCCAATGCTCAACTTGAAATTGTCCACTCCACTGCTCGCGCTAACATCCCACCCACCCACCCACCTCCAATATGGCTTGCAAACCCCATGCGGAAGCGATTGCGATGAGTGCTGGTTGTTGGCTGGTGCATCTCTGCGGCCGCGCTAGCCCGCGCATGCTCGCGCGCGCAGCGGCCAGTTAGTTTGGCGTGACCGACGCGACCGCGGTGGCGCTGTTCGTTCGGCACATACCAGCGGGCATTTCAGTGCGAGTCGGCGTTTTGGGCGGGCGCGGTATCATGGGAACGTCGACGACGGTAGGTACGATGATGATAGGAGCGGTGCTGGTGACGATGTTGACAGCGACGACGGGGCAGCCAGTGACGGCGCCGATGCTGATCACGCCGACGACGATGACGGCGGTTTCGCGTCGGTGATGAAAGCCTTGGAAGGAAGTCGAAATGCGCGCGTGGAAGACGCGCGAGAGTGGCTCGCATGGTATTATTTGATACGGCTCGTTCCACCCCAGCACGCGCGCAAGGGCGTTCGAACGATTTCGACATGCGACCGCGCGAAGCCCGTTTAGTTTCATTTCATGAACATGTTGAACAATTCATGGTTCCCCCAAAAATTCGCAAGAACGCGCGCACGCTTTTGGTGAACATCCGTGTTGCGATGACTTTTTTTATATTATTATGAAAAACGAGGGGGGATGGGGGTATAATTTATTTGTTCATCAGGCAAGAGAACGCATGTGCTTTAATCTGCGCATCCGGTATGTGGTGCAGCATCATGGGTGCAACCGGTGCTGTGCAATCGTTGGAATTCCGTCGACACATATACATGTATCTGTATATATATGTAT